ACGTTGATTGCACAAAAAAACATATCTTTGGTTACAACAACTTTTCAATGAAAATGTGCCAATATCACATTATAAAAAGTGCTCTTCAAATTACCTGTTAATAAATTGTTTACATAAGTGATACATTTCGATTTGGAAGATATTTTTATATATCTGTTCATTGTAACATACATTGTATCAATCTTTCAAATGTTATTTTACACTAGTATGTAGACCTCGTCAACAGATCAATTTTGTGACTAGAAATTAAGAGGAGATAAATATAATTCTCTTAATCTTCTTCTCTTCATATAATAAAAAAAAATTGTTAATTGAAACCTAAATGTAAAGCTTTTGTCCCTAAATAGGTAATGCTGAATTGACAATAACAAAAGGTGATAATCAATATAAGGGAGAGAATTAGTATATCACAGGACAAAATACTTCCAATTAATTCAATCAAAATTTAACTCAATGCTCAAAATATTATCATGTGGGAGAGCTACAAATTGAAAAGATTGAAACTTTCTGAGGAAAAATACAGTTAAATAATATATTTTTGTGAAACTCAATTTTTGTTGTTTTCAAAAAAAATTGTGGACATGTATATTCGTGGACAGATATAGCTCATTGAATCAACTTGTACTTATCTTTTATAGAACATCGACATCTGAATTGGTGGATTAAAAAATACCAACAAGTTCAATAAAAATAAATCCTCCACAAAAAGAACAACTTTACAGTATTGACATGTATAAACTACTGACATTTACAAAATATATTTGCGTAAAACTGGAAACAAAAAGTCCAATAGAAGCTGACTTTTGTAAAGTGCACTCACGGGGAAAAGATTAGGGGTTTGATAGCAAAGGGTTTGGTATGGGGGAGGGGCTTGGTTTCTAGTTACAGGGCCAAAAGTATCCATCATAAGCTATAAAGGCAGTCAAAGGTAAGAAAACAGGACTGGAGGTCAAAGCTGGAGTGAAAATTAAGAAGGATATACAATATATCAGAATATCAAAGGGGGAGATATCTATAAACACAGACAATCTAATTCATAGTAATCTTATGTCCAGAGGAACAAGGACAGGCCACGATGTTGTATCACCCAGCTGGTACATACCTCAATCTTTTCTTACAGAGAGGTACAATGTTTTGTAATTGACAGGTAGAATGATTTGTAATAGACAGGTAGAATGTTTTGTAATAGACAGGTAGAATGATTTGTAATAGACAGGTAGAATGTTTTGTAATAGACATGAAGAATGTTTTGTAAGACAGGTAGAATGTTTTGTATTAGAGAGGTAAACGTTTTGTAGTAGACAGGTACAATGTTTTGTAAGAGACAGACATAAGTTAAATGTTGTGTAGTCAACAGGAACAATGTTTCGTCAAAGACATGTATAATGCCTTGTAGTAGAAAAGTAGAATGTTTTGTAACAGAGCATGAAAATTTCTCACATAAGTCCCTGTGTAATCAATCTGCTGGTTGCTAGGAATGGGGTTAGACAACTTGCCTGCACTGGGATGATATTCACAATAGAATCATTTACATGCAGCATAACCACAGAGCAAATTGATAGTTATCAATTTTGATGCATATTTCATGGGACACGACAGCAAAATGAAAAGGTTTTGCAACAACCTACAATTTGTTACTATTTTTAAAGTATGTGAGAGAAATAATAAAACATTGTTCAATGGACAGGGATATCTCAACCCTCAGGTAAAAGCAGGAAACAGATCTCAACACTTTATTCTGGTCATCAGACATACCTTATTCCCATATAGGTACAAAATGAAAATTGTACACATCAACATTAACTAGTACAACACAGGCATAGAAAGAATTAGGCCATCTTTAAGATATTCTTTGTTTGGCACTGGCTGACCCATATTTGTAGATCTTGTGATATAGCAGGTATTTCTTTTTATATATAGGAAGAAAATCCAACTCCTTAATTTATGCTGTTTGACCCAGATCATATATCATAGTCATTGTGTGAACCTGGATGTCTAAGTATGCAGCTTGTTATTCACTGTATTGGTGGTTGGGTCAAGTAAGTAGTAAGCACTATTATGACTTAAGAATAGAAAACTCCATAAAATGCAGACATAAGAATCCAGAAATTATGTTTACAATAATAAAAACTATTAATGTTGGATTCCACATAAAATTATTTCAGTCAAGAGTAAAATTCTGGGTCAGTAGGTCAATGCCAAACAGTATTTGAATTTAAGCCTCATCTTAGCATCAATGTATCTAGATATTGTTCAATCGTAATGATATTATGAACAGATTCACAATATAAGGACACTGTAATACAAAAAATGATAAAACAGGACCTTTGTTAGCTTTTAAATTGCATCCTTATTTCTAAGGAAATGTTTGTGATCTGCGAAAAACAGATCTTTTTTATTTAGTCTTATACTGTAGAAACAAATCTTTGATTTTTAAACTTCCATATAACTGTGTTGTTTGTATGACAAGACTTATCCTCAGTAAGAATTTGAATACATATTTATCACAAGATTGCCTTGCTATTCAGTGAATATATCCATGTCATATTTTTCAATATTATACAAATGTATATAACATATGGTGACATCAGTTTAGCTAGTGGAAAGACATCAAATATCCAGTGACGTAACAATGGAGACCATAGAAATACAATGGATATGACTTTAGTTTGCCATAGAAATTCTGTTTTCTTAAAACTGCTCCGTTTGATGAATGAGTTACCAAACTAGTCATGAATAATCTATTTTAGTAAGCATTTGAAAAATTATTAAGACTCTTTCCATGACTTCATATCACAAATAGAAAGTCACGTAAGATCTTGTATTTATTGCAAAAGTAAATTCTGTACTAAAATATCAGTTTAAACATAAGCTATTGGTGAACAGTGTGATACCAAGTCATTGTCTCAGAGGGTTCAATAGATGACAAGGTATAAATCACTTATCTGTAGACTTTGTTATATTGTGATAGGACAGATTTAATGTGACATACACCTCTCTTAAAGGACAGATTTAATGTGACATACACCTCCCTTAAAGGACAGATTTAATGTGACATACACCTCTCTTAAAGGACAGATTTAATGTGACATACACCTCTCTTAAAGGACAGATTTAATGTGACATACACCTCTCTTAAAGGACAGATTTAATGTGACATACACCTCTCTTAAAGGACAGATTTAATGTGACATACACCTCTCTTAAAGGACAGATTTAATGTGACATACACCTCTCTTAAAGGACAGATTTAATGTGACTTACACCTCCCTTAAAGGACAGATTTAATGTGACATACACCTCTCTTAAAGGACAGATTTATTGTGACTCACCGCTCTTAAAGGACAGATTTAATGTGACATACACCTCTCTTAAAGGACAGATTTAATGTGACATACACCTCCCTTAAAGGACAGATTTAATGTGACATACACCTCCCTTAAAGGACAGATTTAATGTGACATACACCTCTCTTAAAGGACAGATTTAATGTGACATACACCTCCCTTAAAGGACAGATTTAATGTGACATACACCTCCCTTAAAGGACAGATTTAATGTGACTTACACCTCCCTTAAAGGACAGATTTAATGTGACATACACCTCCCTTAAAGGACAGATTTAATGTGACATACACCTCCCTTAAAGGACAGATTTAATGTGACTTACACCTCCCTTAAAGGACAGATTTAATGTGACATACACCTCTCTTAAAGGACAGATTTAATGTGACATACACCTCCCTTAAAGGACAGATTTAATGTGACATACACCTCCCTTAAAGGACAGATTTAATGTGACTTACACCTCCCTTAAAGGACAGATTTAATGTGACATACACCTCCCTTAAAGGACAGATTTAATGTGACATACACCTCCCTTAAAGGACAGATTTAATGTGACATACACCTCTCTTAAAGGACAGATTTAATGTGACATACACCTCTCTTAAAGGACAGATTTAATGTGACATACACCTCCCTTAAAGGACAGATTTAATGTGACATACACCTCCCTTAAAGAACAGATTTAATGTGACTTACACCTCCCTTAAAGGACAGATTTAATGTGACATGCACCTCCCTTAAAGGTCAGATTTCATGTGACATACACCTCCCATAAAGGACAGGCTTAATGTGACAAAAACCTCCCTTAAAGGACAGATTAAATGTGACACAAACCTAATTTGAAGGACAGATTTAATGTGACATACACCTACCCTGAAGGACAGATTTAATGTGAAACAAACCTATCTTAAAAGACAGATTTCATGTGACATAAACCTCATTTGAAGGACAGATTTAATGTGACATACACCTCCCCTGAATGACAGATTTAATGTGACATACACCTCCCCTGAATGACAGATTTAATGTGGCATACACCACCCCTGAATGACAGATTTAATGTGGCATACACCTCCCCTGAAGGACAGATTTACATGTGGCATACACCTCCCCTGAAGGACAGATTTACATGTGACATACACCTCCCCTGAAGGACAGATATAAATTTAACATACACCTCCCTGGAGGCATCAGATTTAACGTGACATACAACTCACTCGATGGACTAGTTTACACATGACATACACCTAATTACAAGGACAGATTTTTATGTGACATACTGACTGGAATGATTCTGATACCATCAAGTTTAGTGATTCAAGTTTGAATTTAGAAGTTAATTTTAGTAATATCATAAGTGAAAAGTATACAACACATATGTATTAACAAATTCTGGTATCAGAATTACTTTGTAAACAAATTTTGAAAGTTAAAAGGGAGATAACTCTGAAACTGTTCTATATCACTATATACAGTACCACTGTGATAGATACAAATGCAAAAAGGAAGCCTTTTTTTTTAAATTTTTGTTTTCTGTGGAGTATTGTATATATGGAGAAGATGAAAGAATAAAAAGAGGTCGCCCTTAACTACGTAATGTTAACATAATAATCACAGTCAAATCATTGAAATGCGATTCATCAACAAAACTATTAAGTACTTTTAACATGGCCATTATTTGACCGACGTACATGTACATCGCACGAAACTCTGCCATTTTCTCCACTTAAAGTTTGTTTGGATGTGACATTTTCCTGTCCATCTATTGATAATGAACTTGTATCTTCGATGTGACTATATTGTTTTTGTATAGACCCATTAACCTTGGTTGTATTCCCCTTGAATATCAACTGTTCCTCTATATTGAGTTGATGTGTAAATCCCAAGCGGATGACGATCCAGACGCAGAACTTGCCAAACAATGGAATCATGGCGGCCTGATGGAGCATGGACCAGAGGTGATACCACTGTCCATAAAATGGATCAGTATAGGCGGGACACATCATGTTATTAAGATTTACAAGTGAGACCTGTAAATAAGGAAACAGATAAAAATAAATAACATCATTAAAGAATACCTATACCTGACTAAGCCATATGTAACCATCCTGCATACCTAAATGTATCTATGCCTGAATGACAAACCCAATATACCATCACAAGGAGGCTAGACATAGGTTCCTCTTTTACAAAAAAATAAATATTTGATAACAAACCAACTAACTAGTAAATTAATGTGCTTACTCAACTCTTTTATTTTTTTGAAATAAATTATTCAATGGATCAAAAGATGAAAATAGATAATTTTCCAGCTCAAATTCAAAATTTGAAATTAAAATGTATGAAATGAAATAAAGATGATTTGTTATTTTTTCAATATTGTAAACAGATTGTTGATTTTCCTACTTTTGTATGAAAGATCCAAAGACAAAATCAATTTGTTAAATAGTGTTTTGACAATGACTGAATTTTCTTCCGCTTTTCGATCCCAAGAAAGACAAAATTGTTATCAGTGATACCATCAGGAACAAGGAACATCCTGTCTATTGTGTAACAAAAAATGTACACAGATACTGTAGTAGTGTGTAGCAATAGAGCAATGTAAACACAGCTCTCATCAAACTTACATAGGCCAGTAACTGAAGTGGTATGAAATGGTATATATACTGTAAACCAGTTGCTATAAAGGACCAGTTGAGATCACGTAGAGGCTCCGCTGTATAAACCCCTGAAATGCAAACAAATTGATGTGAAAATATTTCTCTATTAGATTTGTTTACAAATCCAACTGAGATTCTCATTATATGTACTATATAAATTGACATGGACACATTCAATGCATTTTCAAATGTAAACCAACCATAAAAAAATTTCGTGTCAGAATAAAAACACACCTGTACTCCAATAAGTCAGTTCATTGTCTGAGTGGGAAAATATCATTTTTAATGAACAGCATTGAAATCTGATATATAATGCTGACAAATCTTTTCTATGTAGGCATAGAGGTATGACCAGCATCAAAGTATGACGACTCTGTCACTTACCTCCAATCATCAGTAGATATATAGGGACGACCAGCATCAAAGTGTGTTGTATGTAGTAAGTCTGTACCTCAAATGGTAACTGAAATTGAAGTTATAAAGAGTGAGACCTGAATTAAATGACAGAAGCATTATGATCACTTCACTAATCAACACATCAGTCATGGTATTAAATTCCTTACACAAATATGAACAAAACATTATGAAAACATGATTGAAAAGAAAGAGATCTTTTCAACAATGCAATCTGCCAGAATTTGAAACAAATATAAGATTCTGTTTCTGTGAATCACATTTATAGTTTTTCGGCTATAGATGTTCATAGAAAAATTGTACTTCTCCACATCTGATATGCTTACAATGGCAATACTTTCTGCTAGAACTTTCAATTTTGAGAAATCACACTGCATGTGATTGGTAATTTAACAGAAACATGTTCATAGCGCAATTAATTGTATCAAAATCAGAAGGTCTAATGTGAAGTCCAACCAAATATACTTGGTAGGTCACAGCGACCTACTTTTCCTCACACATTCATATTTTGAAAACTGGATAATACAAGCTAATACATATAAGAATAACTAATCATTACAGAGTAAAGACAGACACACAATACTGTTACGTCTTAAAAAAAATTAGTCTCTAATAATGTGCTTAAATATCACAGTAGCAAAGTAAATGAGGGTCATTAATCCTGAGGTCACAACCACTCTCATGGTTTCTCGTTGGTTGATTTAGAATTTTGAGTGATTATGAGCAATGTCAGTCTATAACTCATTATCATTACATCAGACTTTTTATCTGCCACTATTTAAATCATAAATCACAGAGCAGACATACCATGTTAACCATATGTCTCTCTCTCACAATCAGAATGTCAAAATGTGCACTTAAGTGCTTAGTTAGGTCAATATCTCAACAATACTTCAAACAAGGTAGTTTTGGCATTAGAGGCCCTTTAGGGGTCTAGCAGTATTTTGATATGGGTTTAGTTTCTGAGCAAAAGGTGCAACAGTCCTGCATTACCTTTTACAAATCTAATTTTAGTGAGTTTAAAACTGACTATAATGCCAATTGCAAGGCTTGAGAAAGAACCACAACTTTTGAGGCCAGGATTCCAAAACTGCTGACATGATTCAATTTGCTAGGCAGAACACAATTCATTTATGTGTGTTGCATCACTGAATATGATGTCGCCATCCCGTTCATTGAAATATTGCTTAAATTTTCTTATATATACAAGAAATGTTGGAAGGGATGGACAACCAACGCCAAGAATAGCAAGAACTGCGAATGTTTCACCATTTATTTTGGATAAAGTTTTCCAATAATCATGAACCTGCATTCAGCTAATTACAACAATCACAGTGAAATGTTTCCTGATTAAGATAAAAGCATGATATTAACAGTGATAAAAGTGTTTATAAATATCTCCCACAAGAATGGCCCCCCACGGATTATAATGTCTATAAATATCTCCCACAAGAATGGCCCCCCACGGATTATAATGTCTATAAATATCTCCCACAAGAATGCCCCATCACTGATTATAATGTCTATAAATATCTCCCACAAGAGTGGCCCATCACTGATTATAATGTCTATCAATATCTCCCACAAGAATGGCCCACCATTGATTATAATGTCTATACATATCTCCCACAAGAATGGGCCACCATTGGTTATAATGTCTATAAATATCTCAGACAAGAATGGGCCACCACAGATTATAATGTCTATAAATATCTCAGACAAGAATGGCCCACCACTGGTTATAATGTCTATAAATATCTCAGACAAGAATGGGCCACCACAGATTATAATGTCTATAAATATCTCAGACAAGAATGGCCCACCATTGATTATAATGTCTATAAATATCTCCCACAAGAATGGCCCACCACTGATTATAATGTCTATAAATATCTCAGACAAGAATGGCCCACCATTGATTATAATGTCTATAAATATTTCCCACAAGAATGGCCCACCATTGGTTATAATGTCTATAAATATCTCCCACAAGAATGGCCCACCATTGATTATAATGTCTATAAATATCTCCCCCAAGAATGGCCCACCATTGATTATAATGTCTATAAATATCTCCCACAAGAATGGCCCACCATTGATTATAATGTCTATAAATATCTCCCACAAGAATGGCCCACCATTGGTTATAATGTCTATAAATATCTCCCACAAGAATGGTCCACCATTGATTATAATGTCTATAAATATCTCCCCCAAGAATGGCCCACCATTGATTATAATGTCTATAAATATCTCCCCCAAGAATGGTCCACCATTGATTATAATGTCTATAAATATCTCCCCCAAGAATGGCCCACCATTGGTTATAATGTCTATAAATATCTCCCACAAGAATGGGCCACCATTGGGTATAATGTCTATAAATATCTCCCACAAGAATGGCCCACCACAGATTATAATGTCTATAAATATTGCTGACAAGAATGGCCCACCACATATTGATGACTGGATCAAACCCTCACCATGACAGCTTTCCTTTGAAAAGAGCATCTAATAAAAACATACTTCAGGTAGAAACAATATAAAGTATCAATGCTATATGCACAACAACTTATATGATTACAGGGTGGTGTCTGAATAAAAACCTCACAGAACAAATCCTGTTACAGAGTAGAGTACAAACAGATTTTGCTAAAAAACCAAATAACCTTTAACTTACAGTATAAAGAAAATTATTTACAACGAACATACAGAAATAAAAACATTTAAAAATTACCCCAAATTAACACATATTCACAAAATGAGATCATAACCTCTGTGTAGATTCACCAAACTTGAAATTTAATATAAAGATTTATTGACCTTGAACAAACCTTTGGACCCCACATAGGTACAAGAACATTCATAAAAAAATCAACATTGTAGCATTTGACTTCAGGACTTGTATTCTAAGACAAGTTTCATTTTAAGCAGAGAATAGAGGACTAAATTCTGATTTGATTAATCAACGTACATCTGTTTTAGTAGATATCTAGATGTAATTAATATTTATATCATTGTACTATAGGGATCTGCCTCTCAAACACAAGATTTCTCTGCCAGTTCTGTAGGGAATTCTATAGCCCCCCCTTTGGGAAATTAAGGCACGAAAAAGCTCTGAGATCAATAATGAATCAATACTGAAGATATCTTATGATTTATATTACTTTACGCTGAGGCTCGGCCTCAAGAGTTAAAGGGGATAACACAAGTGTTAAATCCCACAGTGATCATTCAATATTTGGATGAAAATCACTAATACTACAGTACATAAGACAGTGTGGTTTTGGTGCAACTTTCCAGCAGGATAATGCACCAGCGCACATCAGACACACTAGCAGAACTTTCCTACAGTGTACACCAGTCACACCACACCAGTCACACCAGCTGAAGCTTTCTGGGTGGTCGGGTGGCGCGATGGAAATGCACTTGCCTTTCACCTGCCCATCCAAGGTTCAATTCCCTAAATGGATGTAAAAAGGTATGGGGTCACCTACCCGACCACATGGATTCCAGTTTCCTCCCACACCAAGACCCCTCACCTCTCTTCCATTCGAGCCAGCAAGAGTGATTAATATAAGTTGGAACAACTTGCTTCGCAAGATTTGTAAAATAAATAAAGTTTATTATAAAGTTTCCTCCATTATACACCAGTCACACCAGCAGAACATTCCTACAGTATACACCAGTCACACCAGTGGAACTTTCCTACAGTATACACCAGTCACACCAGTGGAACTTTCCTACAGTATACACCAGTCACACCAGTGGAACTTTCCTACAGTATACACCAGTCACACCAGTGGAACTTTCCTACAGTATACACCAGTCACACCAGTGGAACATTCCTACAGTATACACCAGTCACACCAGTGGAACATTCCTACAGTGTACACCAGTCACACCAGTGGAACATTCCAACAGTGTATACCAGTCACACCAGTAGAACATTCCTACAGTGTACACCAGTCACACCAGTGGAACATTCATACAGTTTACACCAGTCACACCAGTGGAACATTCCTACAGTGTACACCAGTCACACCAGTGGAACATTCCTACAGTGTACACCAGTCACACCAGTGGAACATTCCAGTCACACCAGTAGAACATTCCTACAGTGTACACCAGTCACCCCAGTGGAACATTCCTACAGTTTTCACCAGTCACACCAGTGGAACATTCCTACAGTATACACCAGTCACACCAGTGGAACATTCCTACAGTGTACACCAGTCACACCAGTGGAACTTTCCTACAGTATAAACCAGTCACATCAGTCACACCAGTGGAACATTCCTACAGTATACACCAGTCACACCAGTGGAACATTCCTACAGTATACACCAGTCACACCAGTAGAACATTCCTACAGTGTACACCAATCACACCAGTGGAACATTCCTACAGTGTACACCAGTCACACCAGTGGAACATTCCTACAGTATACACCAGTCACACCAGTGGAACATTCCTACAGTTTACACCAGTCACACCAGTGGAACATTCCTACAGTGTACACCAGTCACACCAGTGGAACATTCCTACAGTTTACACCAGTCACACCAGTGGAACATTCCTACAGTATACACCAGTCACACCAGAGAAAAATTCCTACAGCAGAATGAAAGTGTAAGACCAGGCATCAAAATCACCTGAGCTGTAACAATGGAGCATATCTGGGCAGCAAACTAGTAGGAGCTGGCCCAGGCCTTGAATGGTACAAGTTACGATATTTCAACCAAATATCTAATTATCATTACGCATTATAATTATATAACCATATATCATTACAATTATATAACCATATATCATTATAATTATATAACCATATACCATTATAATTATATAACCATATATCATTACAATTATATAACCATATATCATTACAATTATATAACCATATATCATTATAATTATATAACCATATATCATTACATATTATATAATAATTATATAACCATATATCATTACAATTATATAACCATATATCATTACAATTATATAACCATATATCATTACAATTATATAACCATATACCATTATAAT